CGACTAGATCCTTCTTTTTCTTCTAGCTTCTGATCAGCAAGTTTACGTTTCACTTGACCAGTTGGTTTCTGTCTCACACTCTGCTCCACCTTCTCGAAAGGCATACCAAATAGTAAAGATCGGGCAAGACTTTCGCGAAACTGTAGAATGGTCACTTTGCTGTGCGCGTAGTTTTCCTTGTATATCAAATAGCTATTATCAGTTTCTTCGAACGGCATGTGAACTATTTCGAAATGTCGGTCGTTTTTATACATAAAAGGACAGAGACAAGAACAGGGAGGCAAAAGCTAGAAATTTCGTTCCCTTATCTTACATGCACTACCTATAAGATGTAAAAGGACACAAAAATAACTTGAGAGATTTTTCATATGATCACAAAAAAGTGACTCGTTATGTGATGACACAAACAAGAGAACAATGAATAATCGGTGGAAGATAATGAAAAAGGTCACTAAGTGCATTTATTAGAAGTTAACTCTTGATAGAAATCGATATTTCAAGGACTTTTTTCAAGAAAACTGAATCGTGGCGAATGGGTTAAACAAAATATACACCAATCAGGTAGAGATTTAGCATTATCTGGTATTGTTTCAAGGAAATCGTCATACATGATAGGCGTATTATACTTTGATAATACTCTAGTGCACTTAATGTGTGTCACTTCACGCGAACAGGCTGCACAAGCATGACTTGGATTGTATGGAGCTCGCACGAACTGGCTCGAATTGATACTTTGCTGTATTTCGTCTCATGAAAAAGCTTTTGATCCTCTTACAAAACTTAACAATGTAAGATAAAAATGATTTTATTGATCTCTTTTTATTCGAATCGACATTAGCCTTTTTAATATTTTCAAATGATAATACTTATTTATATGGATTAAACTCTTGATAATTACAAATCTTTTTTGGGATTTTTACTTTATTTTCAAGTAAAGTTTTGGATTGGAATTATTTGTGAATTTGATTTAGAAAAAATAACGACGGTTATCTTATATGTCAATTAATTCTCAAACAGATCCATTCGAAGTAAAAATGAAGAAAAACTGACTAGAAACACATGTTATGAGAATCAGTTAAAAAGGAGAAAAGGCTTTTAACTAGACATAATATGTTACGATGTGAGATGGAATAAATTAAGTTTTCTCATTACATGATATTTTATTTCATTTTGTAGCATTCGTCATGTAATTGTCTCTCTTGTCACTCAGCTCTAATTTATGAAACAGCAAGAGTTAAAGATGAATCGATACATTGCACAAATGAAGATCAGCATCGTGTTGAATTTATTTCATACAAAACAATGATGCAGGATTCTTTAGCAGGAATATAATGAAAATTCTGTATGTACTTATTCTGATACGTCTGAAAATGCCTAAAAAGAAAATATTGTACAATAATGTTGAAATTTATTCGAAATTATATTTCATATTTTATTGAAACTGGATTAATATTTGGTTTCGATTTATTACTGACTATAGGACTAAAAAAAAGCAAACCAAACATATTTTTCTTACATTTATATTGCACCTCTTTTCTCTAATTCTTTCTAAATCATGTCGATTTTCTCTCTTTTCTGTACGTCAAAAATTGAAACATGCAGCTATGCTGCCGTCAACATCATAAAAAAAAGAATAATGACATTTCATCTTGCATTAAATGGACGAACGTTAAAAAATTTCGCTGTATTAACTGAATGTGACCTTTTTCGTCGAGTTTGTTCGGTTCAAGAGAAAGAAATGAAATTTTTTTTTTATAGTGGATATTGACGTATAACCATAACAGCACTCGAATATTGAACGAAATAATATAATTTAAGATGATTCGTATGTACTTTCTTGTGTTTTTCTAGTTTTTATTTTAGATAAGATAGAAGAATTATGTACTTAAGGAACAGAAGATTATGTCTTTCCTCATTATCTTAATACTATTAAAATAGACTAATTGTTCATCGCTTGAATAGTTTTTTTTTACTTCTAAATATTAAGTATTGAGTGTAATTGAAATCGATCTTATCCTGATTAGCGAACAAAGATCTGTTCTATTTTCTTTAAAAACTAAAGAAGTAATTTATTTTTTCGAACTTTAACTAACCGTATCACTAAAATTGTGAATGAAGTTTTAAATCGTTCCTATTCTTTTAGTATTCTATCGATATTAAAATATACCTTGATTCTTAATAAACAGGTCGATGCTGCTGTGAAACGTGAAATGTAATGAGTCTTCTAATTTACAGGAAACAATTCAAATGTCGTTCACAGACAACATCTCTTCAGATAGATTTTCTTTATGAATCGATCTTTTAAAATAATGTCTGTCGCTTTTTAAAAGTAGATTCATCGTATTTCATTGCGTTTGGCAAATATTTGAATTTTTAAAATCCTACTTTGACAATACTCCCAATTTAGATGTCGTTAACATTAATGAAACTATGATCGGTCTAAAATTTTTAACAAAGTAAACTTTTGTTTATTTTGAAATAATAGACAAATGAAACAATTTTTTTCTAAATACAATATAAAAATTAATCCTAAGGTATTGAGCGTTGAAGATGCGAGATTATTATTAAACAAGTGAGTTTTCTTAAATTTTGTTCTACTTCTTCAAATAGAAAAAAAGAGATGACAATTTATTATTATGGATTATGATTAATAATAAATTGAGTCATTCTGGAGAATTTGGGTAGTTACGACAAAAATTGAAAAAGATTGCATTATATTATATAATGTTTAAAATATCTGAAATTTCTATTATACAAACGTTTTTTATCTATGTACAATCTATTAATAGAGTAAATTTCCGTAATAAAAAGGGATAACTAGTGATTTATGTAGTTTGATTCACTATATACTTATTCGACATTCAATCAAAAATATTTTTACAGTATAATCCTTGAAACGTGCTCTTTCAACGTAGTCGCATAATTCGTCGCTGGACAGTTCGTCTCAAGTATATATAAATTACTCACACAATACATGAGTTGTGATTAAATTAAAAATTGCAATGACTTAATTGGAAGACGCAGTTGATTACATGTAAGAAAATTAATTAGACTATATAAATGTGACATCGATTGTCTCTCTCATTGTGATGATAATGTCTATACGCTACCAAAAAACTTAATTCTGAATCGAGTGTGAGTTAGAAGATAATTTTACAAATTAGGAAGAACAAGAGAGTATTAAGCTCTGCTTTAGTTCTCAACGTTTCTCGGTAAATTATATGATTTTTTGAGATAAAATAAATTCGTATGCTTCTGCATAGACTTGAATACAGAAGCTTGAGAAAACTTTA